CTGATTTTTCCCTCTTTCCTGGGTCCCGGTTTCTCTGCAGGCAGGTGTCGGGTCAGGCTCTCCCCGTGGGCAGAGGGAAGTGGGCTTGTTGCAAATATTCTGATAAAATAATCGAGATTTGATTCAACTTCAGCTTTCCCCCAACGGCTGAATTTTGTGGCTGTTTGGTTTGTGGCTGTTTGGAATCAGCGATAATTGATCATCGTTGGCTTCTGAGGACGGTACAGGTCGTGGAGGAGGAGGAGGAGGAGGAGGAGTTAAGTTTGGTTAAGAAGCAGCAAAGTAGCAAAGCGTAATGTGTAAGTTAAAACTGTTAAATTGGAAACAGGCGACCACAGACGCCGCTGCGAGGTCTGAAACGGGCAACCACAGAAACCTCACCAGGAAATGGCTGGAGTTTCTGTGCTGTGTTTTAAGAAACTGATGGTTGCGCTGGGCCAGCAGCCAACACAGCCATTCACCCGCTTCCCTCCCACCCCCAGGGGATAGGGGAGAAGGCTAAGAACAGTTTAATAATAGAAATAAAAGAAAACTTAAAATAATACTAATATTAAAATAGTAATTATAATAATAACAGTAACAAAATATGGAAGTGAGTGATGCCCAGTGCCATTGCTCACCACCCGCCGACCAAGCCCGGCCCGTTCCCAGATCACGGTCCCGCAGGAGCGACAATCCCGACCCGAAACCGCAATCCCGGGAGAGCCAGAGCCCGAGCCAAAGCCAGAGAGAGCAAGAGAGGAAGAGCCCCTCATGAATCTCCTGCCCATGGGGGACAGGAGATGGAACAGCCCCTTGGCAGAGCCCAATGCCCATGGAGCTGATCCATGGCAATATTCCTCACCCCTGAGATCTTGCGCTTGCAGACAGACAAACACAAAGTCCTTCACTGCCAGGGACACAAATGCATCATGGGGATGTGCTCAGCGTTTCTCTCCTACCAAATCCCAGCTGATCCCAAACCCCAGCGCTGTTCTGGCTGCTGAACAGAACCAGCTCTGGCCCAGCTCACACCAGGACAAAAATTAAGGAGACTGTCATGGACACCAGTTATGCTGCTTGGAAACCCTTTCCCCTTCCCATATGGATTTGAATATCAAGGATTTCAATCAGTAGTGCTGAGTAGAATTGACCAATGATTGTTTTTGGGGTAAGAATATTGATAAGATTATGTAGCTAATGAAACCAGTTGTTGTAAAGGTTAGATTTAAAGGTGAGCATACTATGCATTTTTATGCAAAGGGACTCATGTAACAATGATGATTGATAGAAAATGGGTATAAAAACTGATGACTTTTGATGCTTGATTGGGCACATTAGGTGGAGCGATCCCCCACGTCCCCAGTGCTGTGATAAAGAAGTGCCTGCTTCTTAACACTACATTGGTGTGATTTCAGTAACAGGTTATTTACCAAATAGACTGAAATTGGATTTTCCGTTCATTCTCAATTCCTGTGCTATTAATGAATCAGAAAGGGAAGTCCTGGGAGTAAGGGTTCTGCTGCAAAGTATTGAGGTTCGGGGATGAATATGATACAAACTTTGTGGCGAGGTTTTTTGTTGGTTTGGTTTTTATTTTTTTCTTAATCAAGGCATATATTTCAAAGAAAAATTAACTTTTTGGAAAAGACTTTAAGGTTGTCGGTCCCCTTCACCTTGCACTAGTAGAGTAACTCAGTGGTGATTAGTGGCTGTAAAGAGATTGTGAGAACAGAGTCAGTTCTTTTTTTTGAACCTTCATTGAGAGATGTTTTGCTGTTTCCTAAAATTGCTGCAGAGGTACGTGCAACGTCGTGTCCAAACTCCAGCCCAAGATCCAGGCGGGACTTTTGTAAAGCCTCAGTAACATTGTCCCAGAGACTTTGTCCTTGATTTTTTTCAAGGCCAGAGCACATTCACAAGGCGTTTAGACTGCCACGACTTCTGGTCGCGCCTGGTTTATCTGATAGGTGTCCTGATGCTGCGGTGCAGAGCTTTGGTGTGTAAGCAGGGACTCTGCCACGTAGAAGCGGTGGCTGACGCAGCGGGGATTTGTCTCAGTAGGCAGCTTTCACAAGCAGCTTCAAGAGTCACTGTTTGCCCTTGGTGTAAAGTCTGAGCTTTGCCCTTTCCTTGGGTTTGATGTTGCTGGAAAAAACCCTTAACGTAAGAGGACATAAAAATTAGTCCACATGGGCTCCCCAGCTCAGCTGCTCCCATTCCTGGGACAGCCGCCCCACACCCTGAGCACGTATTCCCCAGAAGCTGCTCTGTGTACTTTGACCCCTGTGGACAAGGAGGCCACTTCTTCGGCTGAGTCAAAAGCATCCCCTGCCCTTCCCAGGGGGTGTGTGCCAGCAGGGTGGGAGGTTTTGGGCTGAGGACTCAAGTGATTTCCTTCTTGTCTCAGAACCCAGGTGTGTTTGAATAATGATCCCAGTAGGACTTCTGCCTGATTTCTTCATGCCCTCTCAAAATGTCCACTACCTTCAGACCCTGTGGTCATCTTCTAATTCTGTTTCATTACCTTTGTTTTTCTCTCCTCCCAAGTAGGTGTAACCTCCACAGGAGCCTTCACCTCAGGCTGTGATGGGACTGTTTTGGCTGTTGCTGCTTTACATCCCCATGCTATCACCCACGTTTGCTGGAGGAGTCACCCGTGTCTATTACCTGGGGATCCGTGAGGAGGACTGGAACTATGCTCCAACAGGAAGGAACGTACTTGCCAACCAAAGCATTGCACAGAACCTGTAAGTTTAGTTCAGTCAGAATTTCATCTGCTACTGAATTAAAATAGTGATTTTATGAGTAATTTAATCCAAGTGTTCTGGGGCATCTAAGCAAGCAAGAGACACGATCTAATAGATGTCTGATCTTTATGAGCTTAATGGTTAACTCGTTTTATCATCAGAACATAGAAATGGTATCAGTGGGAAAAGGAATGGTCAGTTTAACGGAGCCTCCAGTGACTGGTGCCAGTAGCTCTTGAAGAGAACAGACTGTGCAGTGCTCTGCCCTGGGCTTTCATTTTCCTTAGTTCCAGCTGGTGATCAGCTTGTGTATCCTGAGGCATGATGGCTTTTCACCTCGGTGTAAATGACTTCACAGAGACAGCTTGTTTTTGTTTAAATGGAATTTCAAGCCTTAGGCTTAATGGAACTTCCTGCATGCAATTTTAGGAGTTGTTTGAGAAATGTTTTTGTTGCAAAAGTAAATCTGGAAACTGCAATAATTACTTTGAGTCACTACAAAAACAGGTTTTGGTTTTAGTTTTCAAAACACCAAACCTTTTTCTTTGGTGTTTTTTGTTTGAGTGGTGTTTTTTTTTTTTTTTTTTTTTTTTTCTGCATAGCTTTCCACATCTTTTTAAAGGCATTTATGCTTTTCGTAGCTCCCTCCCCCCATTTTCTATGGCAAATAAGCTGCATTTCTTGACTTGCTCTCAGTTGTTTATCCCTCCATAATAAGTAACACTTAGGTTTATACTTGTCTTTCAGAAACAGCAAAGTAGGAGTAGGAGGGGTTCACAGGAAAACATCAAGGTCTGTCAGTTTAGCGTGGAAAAAGTCTCTGTTTTCTGGAGATGCTGAATAGACTTAAATTAGTTCACAGAAAAGAAACCCCCCCCAAAATTCGGGATTAATAAAGATATTATCACTGACTCCTGCAGTGATAATGAATGCAGTGGTTTTTGTTTGCTTTCTCTCTTCATATATGAAGACAAGGAAATGGAATTCAAGGCCATTAAACTTAAAAGCCATTTAAAAACTATTCTATCACTGCAAACAGTTAGCTAATGGGGCTTATTTGTACAGATTGCAGAAACAAGATTGCTAGCAATCAGAAAAGAATGTGATGTCAGGATGAATGATAGAGGTAGTAAAATGGTTGAAGAATTTTTTTGTTGGGAAGAAATAGACTATGTTGGGGGGAAAAAGAGACAGATCTGCAAAATGAAGTATGAATTATCTGTAAACTCTTTGCTTACAGAGGCTGCAGGGATGACTTTGCAAAGGGATGAGCTCCAGATTGCATAGCTAGGAGCCCAGCCCTTCACGGTTTGTAATGACAAGGGAAATGCTTAATGTTCTGGTCCCAGCTGTTCATCTTCTGGAGATAGGCATTGGAGTTTGTATTTCAGGGCTACTTATATTACTGCAGGGTGATTGATACTCAAGGGGAAGGGTGGGGAGTGACCTCAGCTTTCATTTAGGCTGGTCTCACTGATACCTGGACCATGATTCATCTCTTATCTATTTCAGAAAGAGCCATAAAGGGCAAATATACTCATGAGTTGAACTTTAGTACCTGTATGAGGTTTTAACTCTGGGAGCTGGTTACGTGCTGGGGTCCATACCTGCCTGACTTGTCTGCCGCTCTACAAGTAATTCAGAATCTGTTTAGTAGAAGATCAGCTTTTAGACTGAGAATTTTGTCCAGAGAGCTCAGGAGACTTTTTTTTTCCCCTCCCCCCTCTTGTGATTTAGCTGCAAATGCCACGAAGACACTAAAGTGAGTTTCTAAAAGCCCAGTGGAGGCTGAAGCAGGCATGAGAAGGGCTTTGGTCTTCCCTGTGTCACCCACATGTGACTGTCAGAGAAGCGCCATCCTTCGCATTCCTGATTTGTACTCCTCTGTTCGGGGTGCACTTTGAGTCCAGTTGTGAAGTACTGGGATGAGGCCATGGCCGTGCATGGCAGCAGGTATCTGTCTGTGCTTGTGTCTGTGGTCCCAGGGTCCAACTGTCCAACAACCAGCGCTGCCTGTTTCCCAAGCAGGCAGTTATCCATGTCACGGCAGTCAGAGGTGTGGGAGGAGGAAGTTCATGGATGGCTTAGAGCCTGCTAGGGTGGAGCACAGGCGGTCCCCTGTAATGCCAAAGCTTTTGGACTTACCTGGAAAGCTGTTTGTCGTTGTCACTCTACTGTATTATCGACCAGCTGTTATTATCACACATGACTCACAGTGCCTTTCCCTTTGCTGAATTTAACAGCAAGGCTTCAACATTCCTCCAGCCTGGCAAAGACAGAGTGGGCAGCACGTATAAGAAATCTGTCTATAAGCAATACACAGACTCCATGTACACCACTGAGATTCCCAAACCTGGCTGGCTGGGGTTCCTTGGACCTGTCATCCGAGCAGAAGTCGGGGATACCATTAAAGTACACCTGAAAAATTTTGCCAGTCGATCGTATACAATCCATCCTCACGGTGTTTTCTACGAAAAGGACTCTGAAGGTAAATGAGCCACTGCCCTAAAGGAGACAGAGTTTTCTCACTGGGAACTTGGGAGTATGCGCTGAGGAGACATGTCTGTAAAGCCACAGACTTGGTTAGCCCAAAGCTATGCTGCTGGAAAGCCACTGCTCTCAGATGTTTAGTGAAGTCACCTGTGTTGGGTTAGCAGGTTCATGGGGCTGGGAGTAGTTTCCTGACCTGGGTGTTACAGTAGACAGCCCAGATTTCTTGATTTTAGAAGATCCTCCAGAGCTTGCTAGTGGGAGAATGGTGCAGAAGGAAAAGAGTCCTAATAATTATTTGAATTGCTGTAGCATAAGAGTCATGAGTGTGATGAGCTTCAGGGAGTTCACAAGAATGGTGAAGTGTGAGACCAAAGAGCTGCTATGTGAAGCAACCCTAGAGACTGTGGTGAGACTGACTGTGGCACATCTCAGAGTTGAAGGCAAAGTAGCAGTAGGCAGAATGGGAATCATCTTTCTGACTCTGCTGGACCATTTACTCAGCAAATTGCCTTACAATGGCTCTGTGCCTCAGTTTCTCTGTGAGACAATGATGATTAAACACTATTTCAGCCTTGGGATGGTGAGTCTCGCTTTGAAATCTGCTACCTAAGTGTGTGCACGCAGTTCTCTACTGAGTGAGAGCAGCTCGGTATGAGGTTACATGTGCGGACATCTCTGCTCTTCTTGAATGGATGTTGTGATTGCTCAATCGTTCTAGGATCCCTGTATCCCGATATGTCCCCCCAGGATCAGAAGAAGGATGATGCTGTTTTCCCAGGAGGGAATTATACCTATACTTGGACTGTCCCTGAAGATCACAGCCCAACTGCTGATGACCCAAACTGCTTGACCTGGATCTACCACTCTCATATTGATGCACCAAGGGATATTGCATCTGGGTTAATTGGTCCGTTACTTACATGCAAAAAAGGTAAAGAGAAAGCAGCTGATGGCTGCGATTTCATACTGTGAAGATTTTGTGATGACTTGGACAAGGATAGGATGAGAAGATACTCTGGTGGGCAGCTCCCAGCTTCATGGGAAAATGCAGCATGACTGCAGAAGACAGTACCTGTGTTCTAGCTGGATTCTGGTTGTTAATGTTGTTTTTATCTCTTAGTGGCTGGGGCAGGTGAGCTTGTAGGCCTCTTGATCTGAGAGTGCTGTTGGAGTCCCTGATAAAAGCAGGAATCTTGTCCAGGGTTTAAAAAAAAGGGGGCCTGTTTGATTTCAGCAGGAGTAAGAACACTGAAGATGTTGCAGTTCAGTGATGCAGTGGCAGAGCTGCTTGGGAGTGAGGAACATGTTAGCAGGGATGTATTAGAAAAGAGCAAGATTGCTAGAACTCTGCAATGAGCTGTGCTGGGTTGGTGGGGAAAGCATCTGAATTGTGTGGTAAGAGTTACTCTTCTATTGGTGTTTTAATCTCTTGACTGATGTCTGCTTTTCTGCATGGGTTCATTCATCCATCTCTTCTTTCACCCCAGGAATACTGACTGGCAGTTCTCAAAGACGCCAGGATGTGGACATTGATTTCTTTCTGATGTTCAGTGTGGTGGATGAGAACCTCAGCTGGTACCTGGATGAGAACATAGCATCATTCTGCACAGATCCAGGCTCCGTAGACAAAGAGGATGAGGAATTCCAAGAGAGCAACAAAATGCACGGTCAGTGTCACTTTCTGCTGTTGTATGCCAGGGTATGGGGAGAGGGGAGACAGCAAGCTCTGAGATCGTGGCAATATCACAGGGACAGTGCAACCACTCCAGAAAAAAAGAAGTGTTATTTTGATTTAATCTTTGGGTGAGCCTTTGTTAGTTGTTTGGAGATTTTGAATACACTATGTTAGGAATGAAGTGAGGAGCTGGGCTTCCCAGAACAAGGAGAGGAGGATGAGTTGTCGTTAGGTCCATCCTCCAAACATGTCTACTGTGTGACCTGCTGGCAGAAGCTGTGAAAGCCCCTCTTCTAATCTCTGATTTTTGACTTGCTTTGTTTTGCAGCTATTAATGGTTATGTGTTTGGGAACCTCCCTGAGGTGACGATGTGTGCTGGGGATTACGTTTCATGGCATCTCTTCGGGATGGGCAATGAAATTGATGTTCATACTGCCTACTTCCATGGAGAAATGCTCAATATTCGAGGCCATAGGACAGATGTGGCCAGTCTCTTCCCAGCCACTTTTGTTACAGCAGACATGATCCCCAGTAACCTGGGAAGGTGGCTGCTGAGCTGTCAGATCAATGATCACATACAAGGTAAGGCAGAGGTTGGAATATGTCCTGCACTCTGTGGCCTCCCTTTTTTTTTCTCTCAGCGTGGTCCCATGACATACAGTGTGGTAGGGCACGGTGCCTTGGGCAGCATTCCCACTAACAGCATCCCCAGATGAATGAGGGGATTCATTGTCTTCTATACATTGAGGTGGATTGATTATTGGGGTGGATTGGTTATTAATGTGCTGGCCAGACTTACTGGGGATGACTTGTACCGTGGTGTGAAGTTCCATGCTGATCAGTGGTGAAGACAGTAAGTTTGGTGCAGCTGAAAGCTGAGATGAGGTGGTGCCTTAAGAGCTCTAGGCTCTGTAAGAGGCACTTGCATGGTACATCTGAGGGCAGCAGAAGGCTCTATTCTCTCTGTCCATACTTCCATAGCATCCAGTGTCTAAGGTGAGAAGCTCTGCTCACTAGCACAAAAAGACTCCTTGCTGTGGGAACCACCTAATCACCTTCTCCCAGCCATGTGCCTTTTGGGACAGCGGAGAGGAAATGGTTAGTTCATGATAGGAAGGTGGAACTGTGTTTGTTGCTCGATCAAACTGAACGAGGGGTTAAGTATGTGTGTCTTCTGCCATGTCTTGGACAGCTGGGATGGGAGCACTCTATGAAGTCCGGCCCTGTTCTCGGCCAGCTCCAGCATCCACCCTGGAAGGGAGAGTTCGGAAATACTACATAGCTGTGAAGGAAGTGCAGTGGGACTATGGACCTTCAGGGCTCGACCAAAGCAGTGGGAAACGGCTGAGTGAGGCAGGCAGGTAAGGAAGAGGCTGGTGGGTGAGGGCAGTGTTTGGAGCTCTCTGGTCTGTGTTGGGGAGGCTGCTAAGGAAAACGTGGAATTTCTTTCATATCAAAATAATGCCTGCAATTCACGTGGAGTGCATTTCCTGAGAAGGCAGATGACCTCACCTGGAAATGCAGGTGGCTGTAGCTAGACTGTGCTGAGGACAGTACTGGGTACCTCAGGGGACTTTGCGTGGAAGTGTGCTGTGTTTGATAGCCTTACCGACAGACACCAGGAGTCCCAGCATCTGCAGATTGTGAGTTGCCACGTTTGTCTCTGGGTTTCATTTCTGCTTGCTGTGCCTGGCCGAGGAACAGATCCATATATTTGATGAATTATTAAGAAGGCACATCTTGCAGCAGACACAGGGTGGCAGAGCTAGCCTGCAGATGGGCTTCAGCGTAGGCTTGCTGCAGCAAGCAATTTCTAGGAAATCAAATGCATTGACCTTGATGACAGCCTTCCATCCCACATGTCAGGTGGTTCTGATAGCAGCTGGTGAGTGGTTTCTTGTTCAGACTTTGGCTAAACAAAGACATTCTCCCCCTTCCATCCCCTTCCCTGGGAAGCTGTTGGAGAGGAGATACCTCTTTCAGATGGAGAAGGGGAAATGCAGAATGGTTAATGATTTACCCAAAGCCATGCAGCATCTCTCTTGCAGACCTTAGAGCTGAAAGCTCCTTAGACCTGTGGGCTGGCCCTGTAACTAAGCTGCCTCTCCTGCAAGGCGTGTGACATCTGTCTGTGTGTTTGGAGAGGGTGGTGGCAGAGGAAATCAGTCTCTCTTTACAGCTGTTGTGTGGGGTATTTTCAGTTCTGATTGCAGTGTCCCCTGGCCTCTGAAGAAGCTGGTGTTTCAGCACTGTCTTTCCATTCACTGTGCTGCAGTTTTGTTCACTGCCCTCTCTTGCACATCGTGTACAGAGATGCTGTTCAGACCTGTGCCACTGAACCTGGCTGGTTCAGCTGGGAGAGGGCTGTGTGCCAGAGGCGCTCCCTGAACACAGCAGGTAGATGAGGCTGAGGACAAAAAAGCTTCATGGAGACAAGCTGTGCTTGTTCCAAACCAGAGGTGCTGTCCTTGTTTGAAAAGCTGCTGCATTTGGAGATGCTGCTGGCATCACCAGGGGGTTGTGGGGAGGGAGCAGAAGAACAGGGCTGATTTTCATAGGAGTGACCTGACATTGGCTTTTTGCATTTAGCCCTGCTGAGCAGTTTTTCAAGCGGAGCCCCGACCGAATTGGGGGAGTCTATTGGAAGGCAAAGTACGTGGAATATACTGATGAGAGCTTCCGTGAGGAAAAGCAGCAATCAGAAGAAGAGAAACACCTGGGGATACTTGGTAGGAGTCATCCAGCTGCACCAATCCTTAGTGCCCATGAGAATGATGCTGATGTCATGGAGGGCTGAAGCCTCTCTGAGTTCTCCTGCAGACCCAAAACTCTTTCAGATGGTTCTTGTCAGCCCCTGCTCCTGCATGGCAGTGCTGGATGGCCTTAGGCAGTGCTGGCACACGGGACCATCCACCTTTCTTCTGTGTCTTCTGCTCCCCTCAGCCTGTGTGAAAGGTGGCCCAAACTGCCTTGGTTTGCTTGGCCATTTGGGAGTTGCTCTGTTCCTGACTTGTTCTCTCTGCTGTTTGTGTAGGTCCAGTGATCAAAGCTGAAGTTGGAGACACCATCCTGGTGACATTTTTTAACAAAGCCTCCTGGCCCTTCAGCATCCAGCCTCATGGAGTGTCCTATGGGAAAGCATGGGAAGGGATGCGATACCATGATGGTTTGTGGCTCCCTTGCTTTGAGAAACCTGCTCTAGTGGAAGGTGTCCCTGCTTATGGCAGAGGGGTTGGAACTGGATGATCTTTAAGGTCCCTTCCAACCCAAACCAGTCTGGGTTTCTATTAATACCATGCTACTGGTGGTGGACCTCCACAACCTGTTACGTCCCCTGTGCTGGGGAGTTTCTGCAGCCAGGGAGGACTGGATGTCCTACTAGGTGGAATCCAGCCTGGTCCTCTGAGCCTGCCTGAGGTCTTGCTGAAGGAGACTTTCCACTGAACTGGTGCCCAGGGAGGGAGTAGAAGGATTATGGTTCCAGAGGTGCTATTTTTCAGATGAAAATTGTAAATCAAAGCTCAGACCATTTCTGTTTGAGACCCCATGTACTTCCAGCATTCACCTCCCCAGCTGCAGCTGGATCAGCTTCGTTATTTCCTGTCACCATGCCCGTCTCTGCCATAGCACCAGAGGGAATTGACATGGTACTGAGAGCAGCTCCTTGTGAGCCTTATAAACATGCCCATGTCACGCCTTGGAGATGCAGAGTATTTTAGTGATGTGGATGAGGTAAAGCCCAGTATGAATGTAGCTGGTGAGGAGATGTAGCCAAGTTTGTACAGGGACCTTGGGAATAACTGTGCCAATCCCTCTTTTAAAGGTCTGTCCCAGAATGGGGTTTCTGTTGCACCACTGCACAACTTTACGTACCACTGGACTGTACCGAAGCACGTTGGGCCCACGTCCAGCGACCCTCCCTGCCTGACCTGGATGTACAGCTCGGCTGCGAATCCCGTCAAAGACACCAGTTCGGGCTTAGTGGGGCCTCTGATCATCTGCAAGCCGGGCACTTTGGATGACAACAACAAACAGGTAAAAGGGATTTTCTTGCCATAGTCTTACCAGGTTGTTTTCTCGTAGAGAAAGGAAGCATGGGCACGATGTTAAGGAACATAATGAAAACAAACGTACAATAGCGTGAGTCCAGGAGAGTCGAATCAAAGCCATGAGGCAGGTTAACATCAGGGCAGCTGGTGCCCAGGGCTCAGATGGGAATGGCTAGAGTTCTGGGCTCTGCTTTAAAACTCATAGCAAACTTGGCTGAACAACTGTACCTTGGATGTGACTCTATAGATACCTTTTGTCCTGAGACTTGCATAGCAGGCTGCTTTCAGAGCATGTGGAATATTCATTGCAGTCTCAGAAACATTGAAAAGTCATTTTCACTTACTTACAGGTGGTTTGCTGGAGTGATATAGTGCTTTGATGTTTGGGTGAGCCCTATTTCTTCTGTAAGATGAGTTAATTTTCAAGTAGAGCTGACTACAAAAAAGCATGTGAAAATTCATGTCAGTCTTTACGCTTTTGATGAAAGAGATGTGAAATCTGAGAGGCAACCAGAACTTCCTCTTGGCATTTCGTTTGGGGATAGTCTACTCATGGCAGTAAGTCTAGGGAAGGCAGTAAATTAATACACTGGGGGAGTGCAAGACAGATAAGCGGAGCCTTACTGTGAAAAACAGTAGGCAGCAGAAAAACAGCAGGCAGCAGAAAAACAGCCTGGTGCCATCCTACCTACCTGGTGGTGTGGATCAGGGAGCCTCTAGTGAGGCTGAAAGCAGCTGCCAGAAGATCCTACTTCGAGGAGTTTCCTTTTGGTGGTAGCACGATGTGGCTAAATTAGGAGTGCAGAAGAGATCAACGTATTACACAGGGTGGAAATGTGAATCCTCTGAGCAGAGAGGATCGTGAATATAAACAGCCCACTAAGTGAAGGAGCTGTGATAATGATAAAACGTTTGCAGGTATTGAAAGGCTGTAAACAAAACGGAGACAGACTTGTTTGGAAAGGTAGGACAGGGAAAAAACACCTGAGGTGGCAATTCTGGCTCTACGATTTTAGGCAACCCTTTAATGAATGCTTAATTGGGAGCGGTAGACGGCCACTCCTCCTGCACCCATGTGCAGCAGACTGGGAGTCGCTTAGTCCTCTCTGCAGGGTGTCTTCCTGGGTCCAGCTGAGGAAGCTGATATCTGGACAGTGCCAGGGCTGTTCTTTCAGTGGGGAAATGTAACATGCTTTGGAATGCATTTCTTAAGAGAATTAATGTTTTCAAGGATTTAGGGTAATAAAAATATCCCAGTGCTGTGGTGGGGGAAGGAGGCAATGGCTTCAAATCCTTGGCTGAGTTTTGATCATGCTGCTCATGTGAAATATCATGGAAAATCCACAAATGGTGCCTCTCATGGAACAAAAAGGACCATGAATAAAGGGACAGAGCCCTGGCCCTCAATGAGCCAAGTTTTAAGATGAAGGGGAACATGAGAGTCAGGCAAAACAGCTTTAACTGTAAGGACAGTTAATTGGTGCATTTTAAAAATTAACAGCCATCATTATGATCATATCTTAGAAAGGGATCGACAAAGAATTTTACCTTCTCTTCAGCGTGTTTGATGAGAACCTCAGTTGGTATTTAAATGCAAACATAAAGTACTATTTGAGGATGGAAGAGACTTCTGTGAAGAAGGACGATGGCTTCAAGGAATCAAACAGGATGCATGGTATGGCCTGTTGCTGTTCTGCACGCAGTGGGAAGGAACCAGCAAAATATGGGGCGACGTTCTCCTGAAGGCTGAGCTGGAGCGGCAGCTGCATGTGCTGTTGGCCTGAGAGCGAGTGAGGCTGGAGGCAGCGGGTGGGTGGTGGGACATGAAGCACAGCCGTCTTGGGAAGTGTCCTGAGCGTATTCAGGGGTGAATTACAAACAAGCTCTGTTTCTACTGGCCGGCCTGCCCTGTCCGAGTGTGCGCACAGATTGAAACTCTTGGCTGATACCTGCCTGCAGAGAGTTAATTGTTTTCTCCTTTGCAGCCATCAATGGACTGATGTTTGGTAACTTGCCTGGGCTGAATGTGTGTGAAGGAGACAATGTGTCCTGGCACCTCCTGGGCTTGGGCAGTGAAGCAGATGTACATGGAGCTGTGTTTCAGGGAAACACCCTGCAGGTGAATGGGATGCGGAGAGACGCAGCCAATCTCTTCCCCCACACGTTCGCTACTGGCTTCATGCGACCAGATAACAAGGGTAAGTGCCTGCACATCTAACTTAGCAGCAGGAAAAGTATCCTGTTGTAGTATTTGCTCCTGTGGCTGATTCTTCAGCACAGAGTTTACTCTTCCAGGGTGAGCTGTGCTTTAGGTCCTGTTTGGCCCCATTTACGAGGCCACAGCTCCTGTCTTTCCATCTGATTCTGGAGAAGAACAGGAGATACAGGATTTTGTCCCATATTGTCCCAGACTGATTCTCTAGGCTGCTACTTCCTATAAAATATTTGTGGTAAAAGCCCCAATGGACGTTGCTGCCTGTGACCCATAGAAAGTTGCAAACATGTTGTTCGGGTTATACTAGCAGAGAGTTGTCAGAGCTTAACTCCCTTCATGGCTTGTGGAGATTTACATTTATGGCATTTATTACAAACTGTCCTCCCAGTTTGCAGGACAGGCACACAATACCATGTCTCATTTACACAACGTGATGGCCTCTGTTGCCAGTTGTCCCTTCCCCTTTGCCATTCACAGGCTAGATCTTTTACTTAACCACCATCTCAGCAGTGGTAGCACAGTTATGTCACTTTATTGGTTTCTTCACATCTAATAAACTGGTTATCAAGTAAGAAAGCCTACTGAGATGATTTTTGTGTAGGACTTGGTGG